GTCTACTGCCAGGTACACTGTCGCTACTAATCCCTAAGGACTCCCTCTCGTTCACTCTTAGGTACATTGTCACTACTAGTCCCTATGGAATCCCTCCCGTCTACTGTCAAGTACATTGTCACTACTAGTCTCTATGGAATCCCTCCTGTCTACTGTCAAGTTCATTGTCACTACTAGTCCCTATGGAATCCCTCTCGTCTACTCCCAGGTACACTGTCACTACTAGTCCCTGTGGAATCCCTCTCGTTCACTGTCAAGTACATTGTCACTACTAGTCCATAGGGAATTCCTCTCGTCTACTGCCAGGTACACTGTCACTACTAATCCTAATGGACTCCCTCTCGTTCACTCTCAGGTACCTTGTCACTACTAGTCAATATGGAATCCCTCCCGTCTACTATCAAGTACATTGTCACTACTAGTCTCTATGGAATCCCTCCTGTCTACTGTCGAGTACATTGTCACTACTAGTCCCTATGGAATCTCTCCCCTCTACTGTCAAGTACATTGTCACTACTAGTCCCTACGGAATCCCTCTAGTCCACTGTAAGGAACATTGTCACTACTAGTCCCTATGGAATCTCTCTAGTCCACTGTAAGGGACATTGTCACTACTAGTCCCTATGGAATTTCTCCCGTCTACCGTCAGGTACCCTGACACTACTAGTCCCTATGGAATTCCTCTCGTCCACTGTCAGACACATTGTCCCTACAAGTCTCTATGGAATACCTCTAGTCCACTGTCAGGTACATTGTCACTACTAGTCCGTATGGAATCTTTCCCGTCTGCTGTGAAGTACATTGTCACGACTAGTCCCTATGGAATCCCTCCAGACTACTGTGAAATACATTCTCACTACTAGTCCCTATGCATTTCCTCTCGTGTACTGCCAGGTACACTGTCACTACTAGTCCCTATGGAATCCCTCTCGTTCACTGTCAGGTACACTGTCACTACTAGTCCCTATGGAATCCCTCTAGACCACTTTTAGGTACATTGTCACTAATAGTCGCTACGGAATCCCTCTAGTCCACTGTCAGGTACATTGTCACGACTAGTCCCTATGGAATCCCTCCAGTCTACTGTCAAGTACACTGTCACTACTAGTCCTTATGGAATCCCTCTCGTCTTCTGCCAGGTACACTGTCACTACTAGTCCCTATGGACTCTCTCTCGTTCACTCTCATTTACATTGTCACTACTCTTCCCTATGGAATCCCTCCCGTCTACTGTCAAGTACATTGTCACTATTAGTCTCTATGGAATCCCTCCCGTCTACTGTCAAGTACATTGTCACTACTAGGCCCTGTTGAATCCTTCTCATAAACCGTCAGGTACACTGACAGTACTAGTCCCTATGCAATCTCTCTCGTCTACTATCAAGTACATTGTCACTACCAGTCCCTACGGAATCTCTCTAGTCCACTGTAAGGTACATTGTCACTACTAGTCCCTATGGAATCCCTCTAGTCCACTGTAAGGAACATTGTCACTATTAGTCTCTATGGAATCCCTCCCGTCTACTGTCAAGTACATTGTCACTACTAGGCCCTGTTGAATCCTTCTCATAAACCGTCAGGTACACTGACAGTACTAGTCCCTATGCAATCTCTCTCGTCTACTATCAAGTACATTGTCACTACCAGTCCCTACGGAATCTCTCTAGTCCACTGTAAGGTACATTGTCACTACTAGTCCCTATGGAATCCCTCTAGTCCACTGTAAGGAACATTGTCACTACGAGTCCATATGGAATCCCTCCCATCTACTATCAAATACACTGTCACTACTAGTCCTTATGGAAACCCTCTCGTCTACTGTCAGGTACATTGTCACTACTAGTCCCTATGGAATACCTCTAGTCCGCTGTCAGGTACATTGTCACTGCTAGTCCGAATGGAATCCCTCCCGTCTGCTGTCAAATACATTGTCATGACTAGTCCCTATGGAATCCCTCCAGTCTACTGTCAAGTACATTGTCACTACTAGTCCCTATGGAATCCCTCTCGTCTACTGCCAGGTACACTGTCACTTCTAGTCCCTATGGAATCCCTCTCGTTCACTGTCAGGTACATTGTCACTACTAGTCCCTACGGAATCCCTCTCGTTCACTGTCAAGATACACTGTCACTACTACTCCCTATGGAATCCTCTCGTCCTCTGTCAGTACATTGTCACTACTAGTCCTATGGAATCCCTCCCGTCTGATGTGAAGTACATTGTCAACGAACTATCAATATGGAATCCCTCC